AAGTGCTGGGATTACATCACATTCTTTTAAATATCTGGACACCCCAAATGTGACTCCAGTTAGCCAGAGGTTGGTGAAGGGGCCCAGTGCTGGGGAGCCCAAAGGAGGGAGCCTGAGGGCCCCAGGCACTGCACCGTTGAAGTGACCCACACTGGGGCTCTGGCAGAGGAGGAAAGAAAGAAATCCCGCTATGCGTATGTGCAGCGCGGCGCAGGAGTGGGAAAGTGCCCAAGTCAACACCAAGGGTGCAGGGTCTCCGCATGCAGCACTGGAATGGGCTGAAGAACCAGGAAGGAGAAAGGATACAGGGCGCTGGTAGGTGCTGCTCCAGCCTTGCTGGACATGGGCTGTCTGAATGTCCTTCCCTGCCCAGGACCCCGTGAGTGCTCCCAGCATCCTCCACCAGGCCCCTGCTCTTGCCACTCCCCGTCCCCAGGCCCCACTGGCTTGTCCCCTGCCAGGACCCCTCTTAGCAGCATGTCCCCCAAAACTTGTCCAGCCAGCACTGGGTGTGGGTGCAGTGAGCGGGGTGAGTGCCATCCTTCCACCCTTCAGGGCTGCTCTCCTCTCCAGTGACACGTGAGGGGATGGGTCCCTGCTGGACATCTGTGCCTTAACCCTGGAGGAGCTCATGGGCAGGTGAGGGCAAAGTTAGTTTCCCCGAAATAAGCAAGCAGTGCACAGCAGGGTGGCCACAGGGCCTCTGCCCTAACACCACCACCGCGTCACCTCCTTCCCAATGCATAACCAGCCTAGGCAGCCTTTCAGGTTGTTGGTTTCAAAAAGCTGCCCGCAACAGGGCTTCCCCAATGAGAAACTTGATCTGTTTTCCTCCAAAGATGAGAAAAAAGCTCCACTTCTAAAAATAGCCCACCTGGCTCCCCTGCACTAGATGTTTCCATGGCAACCCACTCCTTCCTAGGAGCCTCCCGATGATAGAGGGGTCCCAGCCCTGAGGGGGTACCCTGTGGCCTCCTTAGCCAGATCCACCTATTGCAGGGGTCAAAGAGAGCCCTGAGTGGGGAACGGGGTGTGGGGGCACAGTAAACAAGGGCTCCCCTGGTTCCGAGCCTCTGTGATTTGAAGTAAACTCTAGACGGGCATTGTGGCTCACGCCTGTAATCCCAGCACTTTGGGAGGCTGAGGCAGGCGGATCACAGGTCAGGAGTTCAAGACCAGCCTGGCCAACATAGTAAAACCCCCTCTCTACTAAAAATACAAAAATTAGCCAGGCGTGGTAGTGCACACCTGTAATCCCAGCTACTCAGGAGGCTGAGGTGGGAGAATCGCTTGATCCTGGGAGGTAGAGGATGCAGTGAACCAAGATTGTGCCACTGCACTCCAGCCTAGGCGACAGCATGAGACTCTGTCTCAAAAAACGGAAAAAAAAAGTGTTGTTTCAAGCCATTGTCTTAATTTCCAGGGGCTGCCATAATAAATTACCACAGACAAGTGGCTTAAAACAACAGGAAATCATTCTCGGTTCTGAACTGAGACTTCTGGACTCAGGGTGGCCAGAGTTTACTAATATGGAGGCCAAGCCCCCTCATTGTTCAGCTCTGCCTCTGCCTGGGCTTGGGGTGAGGCCCACACCCCTGTGCTCAGTGTGTGTCCCAGCATCCTTATCTTGCTGTGAGAACATGGGAGGTGGATGACGCCACCTTCCTTGAGGGGTGGTGCGTGTGTGGGTACGCATGGCAGCGTGCCTGTGACAGGTCGTTCATGGCCTTGGAGCTGGGTGGGAGCCACCATCAGTGTGCCTGGGCTGGGTGCAGGGGTCCTTCCTGCCCAAGCCCACCCCTTCCTGGCCTCTCTGTCCCTCTCTCCACCTGTGATTCCACCTGCCAGCAGTCTTGTCTTTCCCATGGACTGTGTCAACTGCCACATGCTCCCTTTTGCCAGAGGACAAAGAGCCAGGCTCCTTGGTCTGTGCCAGAGGCCCCTCACCTTCTCCCCTTTCCAACCTGCTCCTCTGTGTCCCACCCCCTACCCCCCACCTTCTTCAAACCCTGCCTTCCTGTGTGTGACGCGCCAACCCCGGGAGGAATCCATGGGCCTAGGCGGGCCCCGAAGCATTCATTCACTCGCTCACTCGTTCCCTCTCTCGTCCTACCCTCCCTCCTTCTCCTGATCTCTCCGTCCCTTTGAGGGGACCTCTCCCCGCCTGTCTCTGCAGAACAGACTGTGCTCGTGGGTAATCGCTGGCCCAAGTGCCTTCCCATCCTGCCCCAACAACATGGCCAGTGACTTGAGGCCAGAACAAGTATGTGCCTGTGTCCCTGGGGACCTGAATTTGAACCTTAAGGGCTGCTTACTAAGGTGTACTGTTGAAAAGCAAGTTATACAGAAATGTGGCTACCTGCTTCCACCCGCCACACGGAAGGATGCTTATGGTTAGACTGACTGCTCCTCTCACCAGCTCTTGCTTACAGAGCAGGGGTCACATTTGGGCTGACCCGCATCTGCGTTGGGCATGCCCCGTTGAGGCCCTCCCCGTGTTGAGCCGGTGGCCATTCCGATGGATAGGGGGCTGGTCGTTCTGGTTATTAGATGTACCGAACCTGGGGAGATGACACGTGCCTCAGGCACAGGTGGTAAGAGCACAGGCTCTAAAGCCAGAGGTCTGGCTGCTCAGGAATCCCCTCACCTCGTGGCCCTGGGCAATTTCAACGCACCTTTCTGCTCCTAGATCTACCTCGCGGGGTCATCGCAGGCATTAACTGAGGCAGCGCCTCACCCACAGCCTGGCACCTGGAAAGGTGTGGTACACATCAGCCATTAGAGCCTTTCTAAGGCCGATCCGGAGAGAGGAAGACTTGTGAACAGACAGAGCTGGACTCAGATCCCAACCCTGCCCCTCAATAGCTGGCACTAAGCTGGTGGTTTGGCCTCTTAGAACCTATATTTTCTTGCCTGCAGGGAGGGAAGAATAGTCACTGTCTACAGACCTCCACTGTGAGGCCCAGAGCAACAACTGACGGAGCCATGGCCCAGACCCTGGCCCAGCCGGTGTGGCCTCCAGATGTCTGGGGGTCACAGTGGGGCTTCTGTGTGCAGACACACTGTGGCCTCTCAATGGCCTTGCCAGGGTAGGGACTGTCCCATCCCCAAGCAATAGATGAGGAAATCGAGACTCTGAGAGGTGAAGCCATGCTCGGGCCGCCTGTCTGGCCACTGTCTTCCTTCCGGGCTGCTGGGGCCTCTGTGAGAGGGGCAGGCGGTCATTTGAATAACAAGTTATTGTCATTTGGGGGCTGCGGTTGTGATGGGAGGCACCCTGCCTCCTGGCTGGATGCTGGCCCAAGGCCCCTGTGGCCAGAGGGGGACAGGGTATGCCGTGGGCACCCTCCTCAGCTCCCCTCGGCTCAGGCCCCATACAGCTGGCTGGCCTGACCCTGCCATGGACACCATGTATGACTCAGCCATGTCCACCTCCGTGTACCTTGCCTGTCGTGGGAAGAAACATTCTCTCACAATACGCATTCTTTTTCAAAAATATCTTAAATCTTGGGTTACAGATTTTCTTCATCTAAAACAAGTTTTTTGCTGATTATTTCAAAACAAGGCATTTCAGAAACCCCTTGGCAGTTACAGGCTCTGGGACTCATGGGGTGGTGGGAGCCTCTTGGTGTGCTGTGGCCCTAGGCCAGCTGCCTCCTGCCCCACCTACTGTGATGCGCCACCCCACAGAGACACCCACAGCCCCATGCCGTTGGATGCAGGTTGGGTGGCAGGAAAGGGAGGTCAAAGGGCCCTGGGCAGCTGCGTGAGAGAGAGGTAAGAGGGGGCGTGGGAGCTGGCAGAGGGCACAGCCTGCCCCTCTCATGGAGGCCCCAGCAGCCCAAAAGGAAGAGGGTGGCCAGCCAGGCAGCATGGGCATGACTTCACTTCTCAGAGCCTCAGTTTCCTCATCTGTCGCCTGGGGATGATCTGGTCCCTACCCTGCAAGGCCACTGAGAGGCCACAGCATGTCTGCACACAGAAGGCATTCCATCAGTGAGAATGGCTGTGTTCCTGCAGGGGGATCGGTGAAGGCAGGGACAGGGGAGCCTCAACTGTGACATGGGGTCTTTTGGTAGACTTTGTTTTTGTTTGTTGTTGTGTTTTGGGTTTTTTTTGTTTTGTTTCGTTTTTTGAAACAAGGTCTCATTCTGTTACACAGGCTGTAGTGCAGTGGCACGATCGTGGCTCACTGTAGCCTTCACCTCCCTGGGCTCAGGTGATCCTCCCACCTCAGCCTCCTGGGTAGCTGGGACCACCAGCATATGCCACTATCCCTGGCTAATTTTTCGTTTTTTGTAGAAGACAGGGTTTTGTCATGTTTCCCAGGTTCTTTTGGCAAAGTTTGGACAGAAGGTGGCATTGGGCTGGCCCTCAAAGGGGTGGGTGGGGTGGGACCTCTGGTGGGGGCAGGTATGAGAAGGTTCCGGGCAGTGGGGACATGGCGGGAAAGGCCCCAAACAGGAGCGCTCAAGCCTTTGCAGGGAACAGGGGACAGACTGGTGTGGCTGGGGGATGGGCATGATCAGAGAGCAAAGTGAGATTGATTGGGTGGGAGTGATTGGCTTGGGGTAGGCCTGCGACGCCGAGAAAGGGGCTTGGGCTCCATTCTAGAGGCCTCTGTGCCCACAGAGCAGTCTCCACCTCGCCACCCAGCATAGCCCATCCTTCCCTGCATACCACAACATAGGGAGCTGGTGCCCTGCACGCAGGTGGGTGCCTGCAGTCCTGCGGCCTCCAAAGCCCAGTCCTGGCCCTGCCATTCAAGCTGGGCTCTCTTTACAGTCCTTCCCACTGACTCAGGTGGGCCCTTGCTCACCCCACCCTGGGAAAGCTGGGCCAGGCACCTCACCCTGGCCAGGAACAGGAATGGGCACCATCTCGGGAAGTGATGTTTTTTGAATGGCGCTCTCCACCCTGCCCTGCTTGACCTGGCTGTGCAGACCTCTTGGTACCACGTCTGTTCGTAATGACCATAACAACTCTATTTTCTTCCACAGATGACTCTGGGGATGACGACGAGGCTACCACCCCAGCCGACAAGAACGAGCTGCACCACACCCTGAAGAATCTTTCCCTGAAGTTAGATGACCTCAGCACGTGCAATGACCTCATCGCCAAGCACGGCGCCGCGCTCCAGCGCTCCCTGACGGAGCTGGACGGCCTCAAGATCCCATCCGAGAGTGGGGAGAAGCTGAAGGTGGTGAACGAGCGGGCCACCCTCTTCCGCATCACATCCAATGCTATGATCAACGTGAGTACCCGCCCCCACCACCGCCCTGGCACGGGGCTCCCTGGCTCCAGCCCCGGGGTCCCTGAGCAGGTGACCAGGAGTGCTTGAAGCGTCAGCATTCCATTTCCTGCGGTTCCACGGTGTTTCCCAAAGCCAGCGCCCCCCCCAGCTAGCTTCCAGGTTCTCAAATCATCTCCTTCACTCGGCCGTTGTTGGGCAAGGACATTCTTCTTCACTGTCTGGAGGAAACTGGAGTTGGGTGTGGACTCTGGTACAGTCTGCAGTTACTTCATGCCTCGATAAGGAAGGTTGGGGCCCGAAGTTGAGTAGCTAGCCCAGCGGGTCAGTTCTGCCCACACAGTAGGGACACAGCTGCCACACTGGCCCTCAGTGGCTGCTACTCCTCCTCCCTGGGTTCACTCCCCAGATGCAGTGGGAGCAGATGCTGTGCACAACAAGGGAGGGTGTGTGGTGGGGGCTGTGGTCGAGGGCTCCCTGAGCTAGAAGAGCCTCTAGCCTCAGAGCTGAGCCTGCTGAGGTCGTGCCAACCTGATGGTAGACGAAGTGGGTAACCGCAGTTGTAAACTAAGCAGCCCCACCGTGGGAGTCAGCCGCTCACCCCGGTCTGGAAACCACACGGCTATGACTGGGAGCCACGAGGGTGTCTCAGTGGTGGTAGGAGGATAGTGCTTGGCCCTGCTTCCCTCTTTCTGTCTGGGGAGTGTTCCCCAGAAGTGTGCGTGCTCCTCCGGGCCTCCACCCTCCAGACACAAGTCTGACTGCGACAGCCTCCTCCCAGGACAGTCCCACAGGGTGGTACATCTAGGCCAGGGGTGCAGTTCTAGCAGCTTGGGGTGGCCTGCTGTGGGAGTAAGGAGACCAGAGCAGAGGAGCTGTGCAGAAATGGAGGCCGCTACAGAGGAAGGAGTGAGGTCCAGAGAAGGGGGTTCAGGAGAGCCATCTTGCTGGCTGGGGACAGTGGGCAGTGCTTGTGCCTGGGTGAGCTCCAGCTGGGGGACCCAGCCCCCAAACTAGGAGGTTAGACCAAGGCCGGACTGGGAGCTGGGACCAAGCTCCAGGCCCCACAAGAAATGCAAGGGCAGGGTGGGAAGATACAGGCTAGAGCTCACTGCAGGCCAAGAGCCCAGGCTAAACCCTGGGCATCCAAGACCTGCCCCAAGCCTGCTTCACTGGCCTGTTGGCAGCATGATTGTGGGGTGGGAGGGCCACCCCACCACCCACACCTGCCCAGATATGCTCAGGCTTGGAGTACCCAAATGCAGCCTTGGGAATCCCACCCTGGGGCCTGAGGCTGGGCGAGGTGTGCCCACCTTCCCGGCTGCTGGGAAACTCAGCGTGCAGGTGCCCACCCGCCTCAGCTCAGCAGATGTGTGCGCCTTCTCCATCCCAGATCCCACAGTGCTGGGGGGTTGGGTGTAGTTGGCCCCATGTGCCAAGGATGGTGAGAGGCTGCTGGGCCACCCTGCATGTTGGCCCCGTTGTCACCTGCACTGTTTTCCTACGTCCACCCTCTCAGGCCCAGTGTCCTCCTTACAGCCCACAGACCAGATTATGCTGTACTTCTACCAGGGACACACACACATGGGAAGCACTGAATGACATAATAATGCATTTGTATTTCCCTGTCCCTCCTAGAAGCCACCGCCGGAGGCTTCCCAGGCACTGCCTCCCCACCCGAGACCAAAACTGCTTTGTCTTGAGTGAGCAGTTTTGGCTTTTCCGAGATAATGAGCG